CAGTCTACAGAATGGGAAAGGATATTTGCCAACTACACATCTGATAAGGGGTTAATTTTAAGGATATACAAAGTAGTGGTTCAACTCCACAAAAAGAAAACATTCAACCCCATCAAAAAATGGGGAGATGAAATGAATAGAAACTTTCACAAAGAAGAAATCCGAATGGCTAAAAGGCACATGAGAAAATGTTCCACATCATTAATCATCAGGGAGATGCAGATCAAAACCACAATGAGATATCACTTCACACCACAGAGACTGGCCCATATCCATAAGAACAAAAGCAACCGGTGCTGGCGCGGATGTGGTGAGAAAGGGACACTCCTTCACTATTGGTGGGAATGCCGATTGGTTCAGCCCTTTTGGAAAACAGTATGGACGATTCTCAAAAAATTAGAAATTGAGCTCCCATTTGATCCAGCAATACCACTCCTCGGAATATATCCCAGAGAAGCAAAAAAGTATAGTCGAAGTGACATCTGCAATTGTCTGTTCATTGCAGCACTCTTTACAATAGCCAGAATCTGGAAAAAACCTGAGTGCCTGAGAACAGATGACTGGTTAAAGAAACTTTGGTACATTTACACAATGGAGTACTATGTAGCTGTTAGAAAAGACAAAGTCACGAAATTTACATACAAGTGGTACTACATGCAAAGTATTATGTTAAGCGAAATGACTCAGAATGAAAGGGATAGGCATAGAAAGATTGCATTTATCTGGGGAACATCAAGTAACAAAATAGGAAACTAACACCAAAGAATGGTTGAGAATACCAGGAATTTTACTTCATGACTTGGAGGCCAACCACACATACTAGGGGAAAAGGGAGCTCAGATAAAGAGGGGAACACCAAATAAAGGTGTTGGGAGGATCCTCCCAGGATGGGAGAAGCATGCTGAAAATAGGCTATAGACCAAACATGATTGCCACTCAATGTTTCTTTTGCAAACCACAACACCCAAAAGGAGAGAGAGAAGAGAGGGGAATGCCCTGCCACAGAGACAGGGTGGGATGAGGGGGTGAGGGGTGGGAGGAATACTGGGATCCGTGGTGGTGGGAAATGGGCACTGGTGGAGGGATGGGTGTTTGATCATTGTATAATTGAAACCCAAGCACAAAAATGTGTAAGTCTGCAACTGTACCTCATGATGTCTCACTATTAAAAAATTTTATAATAAAAAAACTATACATTTAGTCAGTAAATTAATGGGAGCAGGGAGCATGCTTACCCGCCGGTGTGTGAAGAGAGAATAACATTCTTTCACTAGGATTGTCTTGATCATGTCTGGGTCAGTAACAGCCAACACGGTCTGTCGACCTTCATAAATCCTGTGCTGGGAAAAAAAAAACTGATTACACTTAACATGCCTGTTTCTCTAGCCTGAGCCCAACTCTCATCCTGAGTTCACAGAATCCAAATTGCTAATGATGTAGCTTAGAAAGAACTTTTGGGCTTTGCCAAATCTAGGATGTGTGTACATAAAAGTGTTACAGTGTTATGTGCGTACATACATACAGCCCCTGGTCAGGAATAACTCCTGAGCATTGCCGGACGTGACCTATAAAACTAATATGTGTGCATGTGTGTCTATATATATAAAATATTCCTATATAAATATATGTATTCCTTCCCTTGGAGTTATTTTGATATGTAAATCTCTAGTACCTTCAGGCTCTATACTGCTCACCTGGAAGTGAAGCCCCCTATAGGACACAAGCTGATACTTTATAGGTGACACCCCCATACCCCATCTCCTGGGTCAAAAAACCTGTTAATACATATGGCCACCAGCGTGTAGTGACAATGATCATAATGACATAGACTTGCATCTTATTTGCCTCTATAAATCATCTGCATAGGCTAGAACAAATGAAAGGGTTTCACCTGCTCTTTCTGGCACATCCCATGGGACTGTCTCTGTGGGTCTATGACAGTTAGAGCTGAAAAGATTGACAATTGCTCCTGCCAATTTTACATCACTTGTGCCCCGTTGGAAAGTCTGACTGGTCTCTTTAGCTCCATAAACTCATCCTCGTCCTAGGATATTTTCACGACTTTGACAGACATTCTAGGTTTAGAGCTGTAGGCCCATGAATCTGCCTTTGTAACAAATTCTCCAGTACATGAGAACTGTTATCCAAAGAGAGAACTGGAGTCCAGGATGAAAGAGTGATTCCATCCTTGCTGTACGGGTGTGCCAGCTCAGCAGAGAGCCCTGAGGTTTCTAAGGTCTTGGGGATGAAGAGGGGTGGGGACATAGAAACTCCATCTGCTCTGAAGGTCATGACCCAGGACCCCTTTGCTAACCAGAGGCCACAGCCCTCTGGGTCAGGGCGGTGCCAAGTCAGCAACACTGTGTGATCATTAACGAAAGTCTTGACCTCAACTGTTCTTAAACATCCAGGTCCACAGAGAAGGAAAATACACCCGAGAAAACTAATTTCCAATTCCATTTGTGTGTCAACCCAGCCCTTTCCCAAAGGATATGGCAAATTCAAAGTTGAAATAAATTGAGGATCTGGGGTTTTCACTCAGCCGTGGGAGCGGGTGTTTCTGATCACATGTTAGAAGGATGTGAATCAGAGGCACTGGTGTGTTTAAGGGGACTGAGGAAGGACAAACAGATAAGAGGGGGAACAGAAGGCACCCACCGAAAATGACATTAGAGGCCCAGCCTGCCAATATGGGGAGCCCAGTAACAGCCTGTCACTCTGCCTCAAGACCAAGTAGGAGACTAGAGGGACAGCCCCAGGTGACCTGGAGCTCCCCAACAGTCTCCACTCCTCTGCTCACGGGGTCTCAGCCCCAGACACACTTCCAGAATACTCACCCCCACATCTTCCCATACTTCTGAAAACATTTCATGTCAAAGTCCCAAAAACCCTGTGACAAGAAACAAACTTGTATGAGTCGTGGAAAGCAGTGCTGTGCCCTGGCCTTTCCCTGCCAGGCTCCTGTCAGCCTTGTCTCCCCCCTGCAGGCCCGCCCAGCCCTGTTTTTTTTCCCTTTATTTTATTTTTTTTTAAAGTTGTAGATTTACAATTTTTTGTGCTTTGGTTTCAATTATACAATGATCAGATACCCATCCCTCCACCAGTGCCCATTTTCCACCACCATGGATAATATCCCTCCCACCCCCATCCCCCCATCCCCCCTGTCTCTGTGGCAGGGCAATCCCCTGTGTTCTCTCTCTCCTTTTGGGTGTTGTGGTCTGCAAAAGAGGCATTGAGTGACAAACATGTTCAGTCCATAGTCTACTTTCGACATGCATCTCCCCTCCTGGGAGGATCCTCCAAACATCCTTTATTTGGTGCTCCCTTCTCTATCTGAACTGCCCTTTCCTCTAGGATACCCGGCTGGCCTCTAAGTTATGGAGTAATCCTCCTGGTGCTGATCTCAGCTATTCTTGGGTATTAATCTCATACTTTGTTACTTTATATCCCCCAGATGAATGCAATCTTTCTATGTCTATCCCTCTCTTTCTGACTCATTTCGCTTAGCATGATACTTTCCATATTGTACCACTTGTATGTAAATTTCATGACTTCATCTTTTCTAACAGCTACATAGTACTCCATTGTGTAGATGTACCAAAGTTTCTTTAACCAGTCATCTGTTTCCAATTGTGAACCTCTTGAAATAGCCCAGTGGCCCACAGGGGTCTATACAGCCCCTGGCCAGAAACACTTCTTAAAATAATTGAGCAAGTCTGTAAAGAGAACAGGGCCAGCCCAGGGTAAGCAGCCCTGTAGCTCAAGGAGGCCCTTACTCAGAGGCATCCTGGGGGAAGCGGAGAATACAGAGGAGACGTTTGAGAGGGAGCACCAGTCAGTCTGGAATGTTCTGTGAATCTGTAGGTATCTGATGGCCTGCCTCCCCTCCACCTCCCAACTCCCTGTCAGACTTTGACTGCATTTGGAAATCCTAGTTTGTGGGCAGGAGTGCTAGGACAGTGCGTGAGGCATTGGCCTGGTGTGTGGCTGGCCCCAGTTCAGTCTCAGCACCACACAAGCCCCACCAGGAGTGAGCCTCTGAGTGCAGAGCTTGGGGCAAACCCTGGGCCCACCTAGGTGTGGTCTAAACACAGCTACAACAACAACAAAAAAAAGGTTTTCATCTGAAAAATTAAAATCCTCCTTTAGGATGGGAGAGATAGCTCGAGGTTCTGGGCACACACCTGGAATATAGGATATCCCGGTTTCATCCCCTGCACTGCCAGGAGTAACCCCTGAGCATTGAGCCTAGAGTAGCCTCTGAGCACTGCTGAATGTGGCTCTAAAACATAAATTAATTAAAAGAATTGCCAAGCGGCGAAGGAGCCAAAGCCCACGGATGCGCATCGCCTTGTCACAGTGACCCCGGTCAACTCCTGAGCGTAGCCCAGAGGCGCCTCCTTTGAAGGCAGAGAAGTGAGACTGAAAGATCATCCTATTCTCAGACCCCCAGAGGACCCGCAGGGGTGAGGCCTGCAAGGCCAGCAGTTCCGGGAAGTCCAAGACATGGTTACAGTCCTGCAGGGGCACTTGGACTGCTGATGACTGAAATGCAAAGAACATGCTCCCCATGGAAGTTTGGGTGCAGTGGACAATGGGGATCCAGGCCCTGGACCCACACTTCTCCCCAGAACTAAAGACAGGACGCCAAACCCAAGGCCACCTCTGGTGACCGCAGGGGCCTGGAGGAAACCTGGCTAAGACACTGTTTCCAGAAAGCGTGACACCCCACAACTTCCTCCAGAGGGCACCTCTGACACGGGCTAAGCCAGGCCAGCAGCCCTGAGAACAGACGATGGAGCTCAAAGCACACTCACATGGAGGTAGGCCAGAACTGTTCCCAAAAGGGGCAGCGGTCTGGGTCCTGGAATTCCCAGCTTCTTAAAAGTTCTATGTGTGTAGGTCCCATATCTACAAGGGAAAGAGAAGGTGAACTGTGAAACTGGGCTGATCAGTTGCCAGCTGGAAGGTCAAGAGAAGGAAGTTCACATAGGCAACGAATGACTCCCGCAACTCCAAAAGCCACAGTCAGGATCAATGATCTGCTCCGTTCCCGCCTCCACCAAGATGAACTTGGACAGTTGATGAAACCAGCTGGAGGCTACAGCGAATTCCTGATCGACGATTCTGAAGTTCAATTCCCAGGAGAGGTTTAGGCAGAAATTCTTCCAGCGAACTCTGTTGTGTCTATTGGGGAATCTGACTTTTCTACCATTGTGGTCTCAGTCAAGGAATGGGGACTTGCTCCCAGTGGGAGGGAGGTTTTATTTCTGAGAGTTCTTGAGAGCTGCCCAAGCCATATCCGTTGACTCATGTACACCTATTCTCTCCCAAAACCCTTGGGCCCTGCTCCTTTTATTTATTTATTTATTTTTAATTAGTGAGACACCATGAGGTACAGTTGTAGACTTACAACTTACAGCTCTACATTCAGGGCTCACTCTTGGTGGGCTCGGAGGACAATATGCGTTGCCGTGGATGAACTTTTGTCAACTACTTGCAAGCAAATGCCTTACCTACTATACAGTCTGTCAGTCCCCTATGTGGGATAGTTTTATGTGTTAGGCAAAAGGACAACCTATCGTGCATGTGTTTAGCTGAAGCATGGCTTAAGGAGATGTGTGTGTGTGCGTGTGTGTGTGTGTGTGTGTGCGCATGTGTGTGTGTGTGTGAAATAAACATGGACAGACTCTGGTGACTGAGCAATGTGTTGCAGTGACCAGGATGACCCATGACCTTTCCAGTGTCCATGTTAGATGTTTCTGGTTCATGTGGGTCTCAGGGAAGACTCAGGGATGCAGAGTGCAGAGCGCACAGCAGTGCCAGACTGCATCTCCCATGTTTTTTGCGGTTGCCCCTCCCAGCTGCCCCATGATGTAGCAACCCCCATCCCCCTGACCTTCAACTCCTGTGCATTTCCCGTCAGATGTGTGTGTTTAGCTCCTTTAAGATAGACCCAGATTTGCAGTCACCCCCCATCCCCTGTCAGTTCCAGAAGCATGAAGAGCTGAAGTGTGTTCGGTCTTCGTTTGTGGGTGTCCAGCCCAGGCAGTGGGGTCCAGTCTGTCTTCTGCTGGACTCACAGCCATCATCAGTTCCTGACTCTGTGCCTACCCCAGGACTACAAGTTCTGGCATCAAATAAAACAGGGGTTCATTTCTGGCACCACAAAAACCAAAGATTGAAAGATTTCAGGTCTCCATAGGTTACTCACTGGTTTTAAAATTGTTAATGCCAGGTTTCTGTAATATTCCATCAAGTGTACATGTGTGCTTAATCTTAATCGTTTGTTTTTAGATTGAACTCTTCAGTTATAAGAAACCCAAATAGTATTTCAACAAATGTCATGTCCCGCAGGACTAGTCAACGTGGATAACAGGGAGAGGGTGTGAGAGTGAAAGAAAGAGACAGACAGCAGGATTAGAGTACAGTGAGCAAAAGCTGAAGCTGCTATTGTAAATTCAACAGCACTTATATACGTTGAACTTAAGTTTTGTCCCTCATAGCTTTGGGGCAGAGGCAAAAAAGGGTAATCATGGGACAGATGGGAGAGATAACAGGTTATCAGGGGCTCTTCAGAAGGGTACTCTAGTTAAATCACAGGCTGACATCAAGAATGTTCTAGTTCCTGTTGGCCAACTATCCTGTTCTCGTAAAATGCCTTTCTTAATCCTGTAAATGGGCTGGAGCCATAGCACAGCGGGTAGGGCGTTTGCCTTGCACGCAACCAACATGGCCGACCAGAGTTTGATTCCTCCGCCCCTCTCGGAGAGCCCGGCAAGCTACCGAGAGTATCTCACCAGCATGGCAGAGCCTGGCAAGCTACCCATGATGTACTCGATATGCCAAAACACAGTAGCAACAAGTCTCATGATGGAGACGTTACTGGACCCGCTCGAGCAAATCGATGAACAATGGGAGAACTGTGAGTCCTGTAAATATTCTATAGGCAGTGTCTTGTGAAAGCTATGTATCCAAGAGCCTGCTCACTACATCTTCTCCCTTTCTCTATTTTAAGGAAGGTAAGGTTGTTGTTTAAAGGGCATTAACCAGCAAGGAGAGTAGAGGCCTATATCCCTTTAGGGCCTTACTGGGGGATGGTCGATAAATTAGACCCTTTTTATAGGGGGGAGAAATTTCCAGGGTCTAATCTCCATGCAGATAGGCATGCTCTTCGACAAGGGCTTGGAACCTGCTCAAGGGCTCCCCTTGCCCGCAGATACCTCTATCCCACATTTTAAAGGTGCCCTAGCCCAGGAGGTGATTGCTGGTCCCAAGTGCCAGCGGGCATATGACCTGTTAAGGATATAGGATACCCAGTGAAGCACTAACGTCCTCACTGTATCCCCTATCTGCCAGGTCCAGCCGGTGGTAGTGAACTTGTATGGGTTTAGCCTGCAAGGAGTCCAATTGTTGCTTGATGAAAGTAATCAGGAGCCGAAAGGCCCATGGTCCAAAGGAGATAACAGTAAGAGCCCCATTAGAGGACCAAGTATAGTTGGTAACAGAGTGGTTAGCCAAGGGGAAGTAGGAAACCAAGTTTGAAACCAGCTTTGTTCCTGGTCCCATTGTCGCTTGCGTTTCTCCAAGCCCTCCCGCACTTTAGCCATAGAGTCCTTAACCTGCCCGGAGTGGTCCATGTAGAAACAGCACTCTTCTTTCAGAGCAGCACATATTCCTCCTTGGTGGAGGAGCAGCATGTCAAGATCTCTCTGATTCAATTCTGCAACACCACGTACAGGTACGGTTGAGGGGTACATGTGGATTAGATCCTTGAATCGTCTCAAGCCATGTCAGGGTTATAAAGGCCAGTTGCTAGAACAGCAGAATTTGGGTCAGTGATTTCTTCTCGGCCATCTTTGTTGGTTTCACCTAGGAAGGAAGGAGGACAGGTCTCAGGGCCTTCTGGGTCCCTGGAAGCAGGTATATCACTAAAATACTTCATTAATCTTTCAGGAAGCCAGTTAGCAGCTCCTTCTTTAAGATCAAAGATGCACACAGACCCACGTCCCCATAAAAGTACAGGGTCGGGGTCGTTCCATGGCAGGATGGATACGAGGGATATTAGTGGTGGGAAATGTACACTGGTGGAGGGATGGGTGTTGAACATTGTATGACTGAAACTCAATCATGAACTGTGTTACAAACTGAATTGTAACTCTGTCTCATGGTGATTCAGTGAAAATAAAAATGTTCTGGATCTGTTTCCCAAAGTTTCTTCTATCAAATAGGAAGAGAACAGGGCTATATAAGAAGAACTCTAGGGGATGCAGAGACAGTGCAACACGTAAGGTGCTTGCCTTGCATGTGGCTGGTCTAGATTTGATCCATGGCATCCCAGCTGATCCCTTGCACCCCAGCAGAAGTCATCCCTGAGCACAGGTAGGTGTGCCCCATCGCAGTCACCAACAACAAAAAATACCAAACAAGCAAACTGAAAAGAACTATGTCATTGTACCTCCCATTCAATTTTACACTGACTTAAAGCTGCTTTTAAAAAATTAAAGCCTATTGAAAATTTGAAAAGAAGAAGAAAAAGGAAACAATGGAGCCTATGTACAAGAAATGGGGTTATTTGGAGCATCAAAAGGAAGGGAAAAGTCAGAGTGATGCAGGTGATCACTCTGACAAATGAAAGAACAGTGGGAAAGAAGACATATAACCCCCTCATAATGAACAGCAACTCACCAGGGTTGGAGAAGCACTACAGAGACAGCAATCTACAGTAAATCATCCTAAGTGACTGCACACCAAAATTCTCTCCAGATGATAAAAATAGTGAGAAAAAGTCTGAAGCTCCAAAACAAATACACAGCCCCAAATGCACCCTTCCCGAGGAATTTATCAACTACAAGAGGGAAAAGCGCACAATAATGGTCTGGGGAGCAGAACGTCAGCTAGGGGTCCCGAGTTAAGGTCGTCAACATGGGGGAAAGCAGGTCCTGGATGATGAGGGCCTGGATGCAAATTTCCAGGCCAGATTCTGATTCACTGACTCATGCATGACAAATGCCTGTACAGACCCTCCCCTGAGTGTCCCATGATGCTTTACACACACTGTGGGCATGACTGCTTCTGGCTCCTATCTTTCAAGCCCGGATCAGAGTCTTGCTTGCCCACTGCTATAACATATTCTGGCCACTGTTTCTATCTGCATTGGCACCTTTGAATTGGCAGGAATGTGTGTCTGCTAGAAAAGGTCAGATGTTTTCACAGCTGCACCCACTTCCTTCCCTCCCCAAGTAGGGGCCCAGGGCACTCTCTTCGCTTACCTTTGTGGGAGTCCACTTCCTTGGAATTCTGAGAGTTGAGCATCAGTTGAAGGAATTCCACTCGTTGCTGAAAGCAGAGTAAAAGCTTAATGGAAGAAAGTCACTTGCAAAGCCAAAATGAACAAAAACTAAGACTTAACCTCTTTCCTAGAAAATGGCTGCTTCTAGGGTAGAAGTTTGACCAATGATGAGAGAGCAAAACATCCTCAGTAACAGATCCAGAAAACTCCAACCACCATAGCATGTCAGTTGCTTCTTGAGCCTTCTCTCTCCAAGTCCTCAGCCCTCTGGCTTGTCTTCACAGACCCTTGGACAAAGTGTTGCCTGCTCCCTCCCGTTATCGCTGCTCTCAGGATGAAGGCCGGACTCCAGTCTCTCTCTCTAGGGGTTCACCACCATCCTTGGGGAGAGAATTCCCACGTACCCATCCCTCTCAGAAAGCACCCCCATCTCGCTGCCATCCTGGGCTGGCAGCCCTCCCTCCCTCTGCAGAGGGGCTCCTGCTCAGGCTCAGGAAGGCCAAGCTTGGTGAGAAACTTTCTGCACACGTTGACCATCAGAGGATTCACTGGAAAACACCCCGACAGGTTGCCTGAGCTTTCCAATGGATAATGGGTGAAATAAAAGACTTGGGGCCAGAAAGATTGCTCAATGGGCTGATTGGGTGCACGCAGGAGGGTCTATCCGCATTTGTTCCCAGTAACACATCCCTGCAGAACTCCCAGGAGCCACCCCCAAGAACTGAACGGAAATAGCCATAGCCCCTGAGCATTCCTGATGTGACCCTCACCAAAGAAAGGAGAGAGAGAGAGAGAGAGAGAGAGAGAGAGAGAGAGAGAACTTGAAACTGAGATATTTATTTGCCCATCTAAGAGAGTAGTTATAATTACAGAAAAATAATTGTAAGCTGCAGGTTTTTCCCTTTTGGTCTTGAGACTACACCAAGCAATGCTTAGGGATTATTTCTGGCTCTGCATTCAGGGATCACTCCCTGTGGGATTCAGGGTACCCTATGGGGTACCAGGGATTGAACTCAGATCAGCCACGAGTATAGCAAGCAGCCTACCTGCCAAGAGTATCTCGCCCGCACGGCAAAACCTGGCAAGCTACCCGTGATGTATTCGATATGCCAAACACAGTAACAAGTCTCACAATTGGGCCCTTCACAATTGAGACGTTACTGGGCCCACTCGAGTAAATCAAAGAACAACGGGAGAATAGTGCTACAATGCTACAGTTCATTACAGATATTACAGTTACAGATAATTAACTATTATCAAAGACCAATCCCACCACTCTGCACCTTCCCACCACCATAAGAGGAAAGTATGTGAATATTGTTTTATTTCAACCTGGAGTTATTTAAGCCCTTGTATAAGAGATTATAAGAATGTATATTAAATCCAAACAAATGTGTGCTACTTTTGGTACATCAGTGGCTAAAATATAAGAGGTCATGGTCGTGTGCTCCAGGACATTCTATGTCATTCTCTTCCGAGAGCTTTATTTCATAGTCTTTATTTATTTATTTATTTATTTATTTATTTATTTCATAGTCTTAACCATTGATGAGATTATATGGCAGTTTGTGGGTGTGTCAGCCAAGCTGGAAAACTGGGGACCTGGGGAAGAAGGCCCAGTCCCATTCCAGAGAGCTTGGAGATCTCAGTCATGGGTCCCACATACCTGGGGTTTCCTGCAGGTTCCCTCATAGGTGAGGCTCATCCAAGCCTGTGGAGAGCAGCCTTGAGCATGACTGTGGTTTGGTTCTGGAGATTTTTTGGCTTCCAGGGTTCTGCTGGGGTGGGGAGGGAAACTCAACACCCCCTCCCATCATTCTATGTCTCTCTCTTTCTGCGTTGATTTTGGAGTCACATTATATCAGCTATGACGTTTTCTACCTCACTCTCAATCCCATTTCTCCTGTTTTAGCTCTGACTGACCTGGAGCTATTGGCCCAATCAATTATCTTTATCTTTTCTGGCTATGAGAACACCAGAAGTACTCTCTCATTCCTCGTGTATTGCCTGGCCATCCTATCCTGACGTCCAGCAGAAACTGCAGCAGGAGATTGATGCCACTTTCCCCAGTAAGGTGAGTGGAACAGTCTAACATTTTCACAATATCACAGAGATGGAGTGAAAAATAAATCTCAAATCCTCATTCATCCAAATCTATTTCCTTCTTGTTTTGGTGGGGGTTCACTGGGCAGTGCTCAGGGGTTAGTCCTGGCTGTTTGCTGAGGAATCATCTTGGCAGTCTCAGGGAACCATAAGAGATGACAAGTATTGAACCTGGGTTGGTTGCATGCAAAGCAAGCACCTTAATTTTTTTTAATTTTTATTAGTGAAACACCATGAGATACAGTTGTAGACTTACAATTTTTTTGTTACTGGGTTTCAGTTATACAATGATCAAGTACCCATCCCTCCACCAGTGCCCATTCTCCACCTCCAATGCTCCCAGTATCCCTCCCACCACCCCTTCTAACCCATCCCACCCCACCCCTTTGGCAGGGCATTCCCTTTTGTTTTCTCTTTCCTTTTTGGGTGCTGTGATTTGCAAAAGAGGCATCGAGTGGCAATCATGTTCGGTCTATAGTCTACTTTCAGCATGCATCTCTCATCCTGGGAGGATCCTCCCAACACCCTTTATTTGGTACTCCCTTCTCTATCTGAGCTGCCTTTTCCCCTAGGACGTGCGGCTGGCCTCCAAGCCATGGAGTGAACCTCCTGGTTCTTATCTTGGCTACTCTTGGGTGTTAGTCTTCTATTTTGTTATTTTATGTTCCCCAGATAAATGCAATCTTTCTATGTCTGCCCCTCTCTTTCTACTCATTTTACTTAGCATGATACTTTCCATGTAGTAATGCATGTATGTAAATTTCATGACTTCATCTTTTCTAACAGCTGTATAGTACTCCATTGTGTAGATGTACCAAAGTTTCTTTAACCAGTCATCTGTTCTCGGGCATTCGGTTTTTTTTTTTCCAGATTTTGGCTATTGTGAATAGTGCAGCAATGAACATAGAAATGCAGATGTCATTTTGACTGTACTTTTTTGCCTCTCCAGGATATATTCCCAGGAGTGGTATTGCTGGATCAAATGGGAGCTCAATTTCTAATTTTTTGAGAATCGTCCATACTGTTTTCCAAAAGGGCTGAACCAGTCGGCATTACCACCAGCAGTGAAGGAGAGTCCCTTTCTCGCCACATCCATGCCAACACCGTTCCTTTTGTTCTTTTGGATGTGGGCCAGTCTCTGTGGTATGAGATGATATCTCATTGTTGTTTTAATCTGCATCTACCCGATGATTAGTGATGAAGAGCATTTTCTCATGTACATTTTAGTCATTCGGATTTCTTCTTTGGGAAAGTTTCTGTTCACTTCATCACCCTATTTTTTGGTGGGGGTAGATGTTTTCTTCTTGTAGAGTTCAACCAGTGCCTTGTATATTCTTGATATTAACCCCTTATCTAAAGGGTATTGGATAAATATACTTTCCCTTTCTGTAGATTTTCTTTGTATTCTGGTCACTGTATCTTTTGAGGTGCAGAAACTTCTTAATTTAAGATAGTCCCATTTGTTTATCTCTGTTTCCACTTGGTTGGTCAGTGGAGTGTCGTCTTTGAAGATACGGTTAGCCTCAATATCGTGGAGGGTTTTGCCAACCTTGTCTTCAATGTACTTTATGAATTTTGGCCTGATGTTGAGATCTTTAATCCATTCTGATCTGACTTTTGTGGATGGTGTTAGGTCGAGGTCTAAGCCCATTTTTTTTTTGCATGTGGTTGTCCAGTTATACCAGCACCATTTGTTGAAGAGGCTTTCCTTGTTCCACTTCATATTTCTTGCTCCCTTATCAAAGATTAGATGTTCATACATTTGGGGTTGTGCGTATGGATATTCCATCCTGTTCCATTGGTTTGTGGCCCTGCCTTTGTTCCAGTACCATGCTGTTTTAATTATTACCGCTTTGTAGTAGAGTTTGAGGTTGGGTAGGGTAATGCCTCCCCACGTCTTTTTCCCAAGAATTGCTTTAGCTATTCATGGGCATTTGTTGTTCCGTATGAATTTCAGGAATGCTTGATCTATTTCTTTGAAGAATTTCATGGGTATTTTTATAGGGATTGCGTTGAATCTGTATAATGCTTTCGGGAGTATTGCCATTTTGACGATGTTGATTCTTCCTATCCATGAGCACGGAATATGTTTCCATTTCCTTGTGTCCTCTTTTATTTCATGGAGTAACATAGAGGTCCTTTATCTCTTTAGTTAGGCTGATTCTGAGGTATTTGATTTTCTGGGTCACAATTGTGAACGGGATTATATTTTTCATGTCACTTTCCTCTGTCTCATTATTTGCGTATAGGAAGGTCATGGATTTTTGAGCACTGATTTTATAATCTGCGACTTCACTGTACAAGTCTATTGTTTCTAGGAGTTTCTTGGTAGAGGATTTAGGATTCTTGAGATATAGTATCATATCATCTGCAAATAGTGAGAGCTAGATTTCTTCCTTTCCTATCTGGATGCCTTTATTGCCTTTTTGATTACTGCTTCAATTTCCTTAATATGAATTGTTCTATTCAGGTATCGCAAGTCTTCCTGGTTCAATCTTGGGAGATTATACGAATCCAGTATTTTATCCATTTCTTCTAGGTTCTCTTGTTTCATGGCATACAGACTCTCAAAGTAGTCTCTGATGATCTTTTGAATTTCGTTGGTTTCTGTTGTGATGTCCCCTTTTTCATTTCTGATTCGGTTTATTAGGGTTCTCTCTCTCTCTTTCTTTTTGAGTCTTGCTAGTGGTTTATCAATCTTATTTATTTTCTCAAAGAACCAGCTCTTGGTTTCATTGACCTTTCAGATTTTTTTTTTTGTTTCCATGTCATTAATTTCTGCTCTAAGTTTTATTATTTCTTTCCTTCAGCCGGACTTGGGTTCCTTTTGTTGGTCTTTTTCTAAGATCTTGAGCTTTGTGGTTAGGTTGTCTATGTAGGCCCTTTCTTCTTTCCTTAGGAATGCTTTCAATGCTAAAAATTTTCCTCTTAGCACAGCTTTAGCTGCATCCCGTAGGTTCTGGTAGCTCGTGTCTTCATTCTTATTTGTTTCCAGGTATCTTTTGATTTCGTCTTTGACTACCTTTCTGACACACTCATTGTTCAACATTTTGGTTGTTTAATTTCCAGGTGTTTGATTTTTTTCTCGATGTCTTTGTGTGATTTGCTTCTATCTTCAGTGCATCGTGGTCTGAAAAACTTGTTGATACTACTTCTATCTTTCTGATTCTATTGAGGTATGTTTTGTGGCCTAACACGTGGTCTATTTTGGAAAATGTTCCGTGTGCACTGGAGAAGAATGTGTATTCTTTCTTTTGGGGGTGTAAAAACCTATATAAGTCTACTAGCCCTCTCTCTTCTATTTCTTCCTTTAAAACCAATGTTTCCTTGTTGAGTTTTGTTCTTGTTGATCTATCCAGAGGTGAACAGGCGATGTCGATGTTGAAGTCTCCAACTACTGTTGTGTTGCTAGCAATGTCCTTCTTAAAATCTCTTAGCAGTTGTTTTACGTATTTAGCTGGTCCCTCATTAGGTGCATATATATTTCAGAGTGTGATTTCTTCCTGTTGTACATATCCCTTGATAAATAGAAAATGTCCTTCGCTGTCCCTTCTAATCTTTTTCAACCTGAAATTTATGTTGTTGGATACTAGTATGGCCACCCCAGCTTTTTTGAGGGAGCTGTTTGCTTGCAGAATTGTTTTCCATCCTTTAACTTTGAGTCTGTTTGCTCTGATTGTTCAGATGAGTTTCTTGTAGACAGCAGAATGTTGGTTTCAGTTTCTGGATCCATTTTGCAACTCTGTTTCTCTTGATTAAAACACCTTACTTTTGTACCATTGCTTCAGCTCCAAATCTATTTCTTTCCAGGAACCACCCGCCTTTGACACCCTGGAGCAAATGGAATACCTTGACATGTTGGTGAGCGAAACTCTCAGATTATATCCATCTGCTGGCCTACTCGAGAGGGTCTGTAAGGAAGATGTGGAAATCAATGGGCTGCTCATCCCCAAAGGCACAGTGGTCATGATGCCCATCTTTGTTCTCCATAAAGACTTGGAACTGTGGACAGATCCTGAGGAGTTCCATCCCGAAAGGTAACGCCTGACTCTCCCATCCTCCAGAAGGCAGCCACTTCAATCTAATCTGGGGTGATTTTATTTTTTGGGGGGTTCACTCCCAGCGATGCTCAAAGGTTACTACTGGCTCTTCACTCATGAATTATTCCTGGCGATGCTCAGGGGACCATATGGAATGCCAGGGATTGAACCTGGGTCAGCTGCGTGCAAAGCAAACGCCCTACCTGCTGTACTATCGCTCCGGTCTCCTGATTTTGTTTTTAACTTCAGTAAATTATTATTTTTTTAATTTTATTTTTTTTATTAGTGAAACACCGTGAGGTACAGTTGTAGACTTACATATTTTTGTGTTTGGGTTTCAGTTATACAATGATCAAGTACCCATCCCTCCACCAGTGCCCATTCTCCACCACCAATGAACCCAGTAGCCTTCCCAACCCCCCATCCCCCCCACCCCGCCCCACTTCTATGCCATAGCATTGCCTTTTGCCCTCTCTTTCCTTTAGGGTGTTGTGGTTTGCAATATAGTTATTGAGTGACCATCGTGTTCGGTCTATAATCTGCTTTCAGCACGTGTCTCGCATCCCGAGCGAGTCCTCCAAAAACCCTTTACTTGGTGTTCCCTTGTGTTTTATTTTAAAATAGACTTTCCTCCCCCCTCCTCCTCTTCCTCCTCCTCTTCCTTCTCCTCCTCCACCTCCTCCTCCACCTCCTCCTCCTCCTTCTCCTCCTCCTTCTCCTCCTCCTTCTCCTCCTCCTTCTCCTTATTCTCTCACTGTGAGATACACAGATACAGAACTGTTCATGGTCAGGTTTCAGTCATACCATGTTCCAACACCTATCCCTCCACCAGTGTACATTTCCCACCACCAAAGTCCCCAGTTTCCTTCCCACCCTCCCTCACCCAACCTTCTCTATCGCCAACACTTTCCTTCTCTCTCTCTCTCTCTCTCTCTCTCTCTCTCTCTCTCTCTCTCTCACCCTACCCCTCTTGCTCCATCTCTCTCTCATTTTGGGCATTATGGTTTGCTATTAATATAGATACTCAGAGGTATGCTTATCCCTTTACATATTTTCAGCACACAGGTTTTTATCCAGACTGCATTTCTAACTAACTTTGTCATAGTGGTCCATTCTCTATCCCAACTGTTTTCTCCACCAGCACTTGAGGCAGGCTTCCAACCATGGACCAATCCTCCCAGCCCTTGTTTCTACTGTCTATGTGTATTAGTCTCATGTTATGTTCTTTTATATCCCACAAGTGAGTTTTGATCTAATTTGACCTATAAATGCCCTCATTCCGCTGAGTGTAATGATGAACATGTGACTGTTCACTCATTTCCTTCCTCTAAATTGTTTTTGATTTTTCTTCTCAAAAGTGTGATGGCTGATTGTTAAAATTTTGCAAACCAGACCGAAGAAAGTTGATATTGTTGACCCATTCCTAAGATAGACCTTACTAAGTATGTCCTTATGGACATTTTTCTATGCATAGATGGTCTCTGTTTTTACATGGACTTTTAAAAGTTAGAATGCTGTTGTACTGGAGCAGTATTGCAGCAGGTAGGGCACGTGCTTTGCACCTGTCTGAATGGGTGCAATACTAGGCACACAGAATAGTCCCTAGAGCCCTTACAGTAGTGCTCCCTGAATACAGAAACCAGGAGTAAGTCCCCAGTTCTCTCAGGTTGTCCCCCAAACAATAAAAATACCCCTAAAGCTTTAATTGTTTGTATTATATGGCATTGAAATTTTCACTTTTTTTAACAGAAAAAGATAAGTCATATCTTATTCATGTCTTTCTTGCTTCATATATTTATACATATACTCACAAACATTTACCTTGCAAGAAGTTGATCCCCAAGTTAGATCCCCAACATTATACTTCATTCCCAAAGTCCTTCCAGGAGTGATCCCCAGCACAGAATCAGGAGTAAGACCTTAGAATAGCTGCGTAGCACTGTAACACTGTCAACCCATTTGCTTGAGCAGGCAAGAGAAGAGAGTGGCAGCAGGGAAAGGGAGGAAAAAGTAACAAGTTAAATAATGGAGTTTTTTTTTGCTCGTTTGTTTGTTTTGGGGCTATACCCAGGATCGCTCAGGGCTTCCTTCTGGTTCTGCATTCAGGAATCACTCCTGGTGGGCTTGGGGGACTACACGGGGCACTGGGGATCAAACCTGTATCAACCATGTGCAGAACAAAAACCCAACCTGCTGTAGTATCTCTCCAGCCCTCAAACAGTGGTTTCTAACTTGGTCCTTAATGGTCTCCTGACCTACATAAAGTGAATCGAGGAAGAGCTCTACTTTCCCTTCAACTGGGATCTTTCCAATCCTGCTTTCTTTCAGGAATTGTAATGCTCACCACCCAGAATGTAATCTTAGTTTTTAAAGTTACATCTTCTTTGCAACAGTGTTCATCTCATCTCCTTAGCAAATCCAGGAGCCCTACGAGTATAGGGGTGGTACAGATCTGCACTCTACTGTTTTCATAGACAAATAGCCACAGGAATAAAAAAGTGTTTGTGTACACTGACTGTGAAATCTCAGTGAAAATCTGAAACATATAACTTTTGTATTTTTTAATTAATATTCACTAACTTGGTTTCATTCAATGATCTGCAACCAGGTTCAGCATTCAGAACAAGGACAACATCAGTCCTTATGTCTACGTGCCCTTTGGAGCTGGTCCCCGGAAATGTATTGGCATGAGGTTTGCTCTCATGAGCCTGAAACTTGCTGTTGTCAAAACACTGCAGAACTTTACCTTCAGACCTTCTGAAGAAACACAGGTCAGATAGTTCACTCTGCATCAGTCATGTTCTATTGGGAGTTGATTATAGAGTTCTCTCATGTCTATGTAAAGGTGATCACTCATCCTTTTATAACTTCTTCTAAGGCCAAGAGATCCCTTTGAAGTTATCTAAGAAGTCTGGATGCTTCAGGTCTGGAGTGCTTAGTTATGACTTGGTGGAGACTCAATTGAAGAGATCATTTGGATTCAGTGCAGCTAGTGTATCTTGCTTGTACACAGTCCTTTGGACCTGATTCAATCCACTGGAAGGAAGGGGGCTTCTGCAGTCAAAAGTGGCAGGATGGGGCTGGAGTGATAGCACAGCGGGTAGGGCGTTTGCCTTGCATGTGGCCGACACAGATTCAATTCTCAGCATCCCATATGGTCCCCCCAAGCACCGCCAGTAGTAGTTCCTGAGTGAAGAGCAAAGAGTAACCCCTAAACATCACTGGGTGTGACCCAAAAAAAACCAAAATAAAGTGGCAGGATGACCACACTAGGACCCAGGAACAATGTTCTTTCCCAGCAGAACTTATACAAACTCTCTTAGTGGTGATTATAAAATTAGGAATGTTCTTCCCACTCTACCCTATGTTTTCTTACCCTTCATGACTTAGTTAAATCCCCAAACCACCCTAGGGAGATTCCTTTTAGAGCCCAGAGCTGCTTCTCTGCTCTGTCATCAGCTGTTGTTCGCTGGTATCATCAATTCTGCCACCAAACTCAATAGTCTGTCCTTAAACCATCCAGTTTGGTTCAGTGTGTATCCCCTCTTTGTAAGAATGTCTTTAATTTACTTATTCTATAAACTCATGGGGTCATGCAGAGACCCTGTTATTGTTGAACCAGTGCTAAATTCAGACTAGTTATGTACAAATTGATACCAAGTGGGTTAGATACAATTTTAACCTATTTCACTCTGAAAAATTGAGCACATGCCATTTTTGGTATGTGCAAGTTTTGTGCATGGTACTTGAGAAATACATGTGTGCCATTTGAAATTTTCTAAAATTTCAAAGAATAATGTGGTGTTTCTCAGAAGATCTGAAATCCCTCCATCAGGAAACATGGAAAATCAACCAAGAACCATGAGGCTTATTTTTTAGGACTCGTGCAAATACTGTGCTTCTCCTTCCCTTGAAGAGATCTTTTCAGGTTTTCATGGGATGCTGGAGGTGGACTATGCATCTTACTGTGGGTTTAGGGCATCCTTGGAGCAGTCCTTCAGCTAGGTAGAAATGGAGACCTCAGTCCTGAGAGAAAACTGGCCTCTGGCCCATCAGAGTTGAGCCCCATGAGCTTCCAGATACACACAGGCTGGTGCTTCTTACCCTTTGTGAGAGTTTTATTCCCCTAAGTCAACTGGGATCAGACGGTGCTGGTTAGTCATTCTCTCAAGGGACTGAGTGAGTTTCTGTCAGAGAAAGAAGACAATGGTAGCAATAAAGACCTGGAAACCTTCAGAAGTTCAGTGCTGTTAGTGCATCTGTGCCCCAGGGGTTGTTAGAACACACAGACAGACAGTCTTTCAAAGAGATCCTCCCATCAAGAAGCTGAATCATGACCCTGCGAGTTTCTCAGACCCACAAAACTTGCGGTTGTTAACAGCACTTTGCCATTGGCACCTCAGGGTGACACTCATAACATGCACATGTTTGTGGCACCATGAGTTTCTAGGTTAAAAGCCTATGATAAAAAGTACCTAAAAAGCAAAATTTCCATGCTGCTTAAGAATCCAGTTTGAACTTTAAATATTATTCTTCTGGTTTAAAATGTAAAAAATTAATTAATTAATTAATTAAAAAAATATTATGAGCCGGTGTGAAAAATTCCCCAGCCTGACAGAATGAATGTTGAAGAAACATTTTGTTGAATGATGCATGGCTTAATACATTCACTCTCCTGCCTTGACATATATTCTAGGATCCACATAAAGAATTAAAGGCAGATGATGCTGAAAAACTTTTAAAAGACTTTGAATTATTTTTCCAGACATTATTGTTCTCCATGTGTCTTCTATATTTTGGTTTGTTGTTTCCGCAGCGGGTAGGACATCTGCCTTACACGATGCTGACCAGGCCGACCCGAATTCAATTCCTTCTCCCCTCTCAGAGAGCCTGACAAGCTACCGAGAGTATCACGCCCGAACGGCAAAGCCTGGCAAGCTCCCTGTGATGTATTCGATATGCCAAAAACAGTAACAACAAGTCTCACAATGGAGACGTTACTGAGCCCGCTCGAGCAAATTGATGAACAATGGGAGAACAGTGCTACAGTGCTACAGTTTCCTCCCTCATCATGTCTTTTCTGTTTCCCTGTTTCAGATTCCAATGATATTAGGGAAGCAATTGCTGATTCAACCAGAGAAACCCATCATTCTGAAGGTTGAGCCCAGATGAAGAATCACACGTGGAGCCTGACTTTGCACTTTGTTCTTCAAGGAAGCTTCATCTCTGGACATTACCGAGCTCAATTTACTTGGTGAATTCATCCCAGTAATGAAAATGGCTTAGTTCACTGTGTGCATCTACTGCTTCTGTTCACTCACTTAACTTCCATTGAGAGGTGGATATATTGAGTGATCTAAGGGAGATGACACAGTTAAAATAGCTCAGGAATTGATAAAGAAACTTTAATAAACTCAAAATTATCATCCTGTCTCTAGAAGTGACACCATGTTTTATTTTGAATATGGACTGTTCCATTGAGCAAGTCAGTGATCATCTCTTTCCCAAACACTCTCTGATGGCTCAGTTACATCAGAGCAAACTACAGAACTGAATCAGCAGGTGCCCATAATTCTATACTGTTAATCGCCACAGTCAGAGGTTGGAGGACCTTTTTCAGATATAACTTGATATATTAAGATTAAAGAATAATCCATCGAGATTTTATTTCACTGCTTATAAACATATCCAGAGTTTAAGCCTACATAGTCTGTAACAATTAATGGAGACACATTCATTGTTAACTTTTAATTTGGTGTTATCACCTTTGATGTTTCCAGAAGGCAAGAAATTGTTTATCTTAAGCTCTTTGAAGTCCCTTCTCAACGCCCCAAAAATTAAAATAATAAGCTGAATCACAAAATATTTGTGCATCCTTGATTGGTCAGAAGGTCTAAACCACCGATTACTCTGGGATATATCACCCTTGGAGAGCTCTTTGTTTTTATTTTTGAATCTTCTCTCCTATCTTCCTTCCTTCCTTCCTTCTTTCCTTCCTTCCTTCTTTCCTTCCTTCCTTCTTTCCTTCCTTCCTTCCTTCCTTCCTTCCTTCCTTCCTTCCTTCCTTCCTTCTCTCTGTTCGTTCTCCCTTTCTCTTCTCTCTCCCTCCTTTGCTTTCCCTTCCCTTCCTGGATAATTCAGACCGACACCAACCACAAGGTGGGCAGTCACACACTGTGGGTGCAGACAGAGACCCAGAAGAGTGCAACAGTGGCTCAAGCCGGAGCCCAAGTTGGGTGGGAAGATGGTTCCACTAGGCGGAGGAGCTCACGTGAGGCAGTTGGCGTCCACACAAGAGGGCGGCCTGTTGAGAGTGGCCAATGCTACGGACAGATGGAGAGCAAGGGAGGGTGAGAGAGGCAGCGGTGAGTAGGTCCTGCTAACCCTGGGCATACATAGTGTCAGACACTGCACAGTGGACACCCAGGCTGTATGGGCAGGCAGAACCCCAGGCTGTGGGTTAGCCAGAGAATACCTGGGGACAGGCCATTCCTGCTGGAGTTCACAGCGAGCTGGCCTTTACCTGATGCTGGGAAAATTCTGGAATTGGTGTGCACTTAGTGATGTGTCTAGTTGAGTTCTGCTCGTTGCTGCTTGCCAGAACTGTGTTTGCTCCTAAAGCAGAGTGAGAGCTAATGAACCTTACCCCCCCGCCACACTCTCCGACCAGCTCCACCTGGGTTAGTGTCTTTCATGGAAGGCCTGAAACAGTGAAACTCGTCCAAGGAATGAGATAAAAATTGTGTTTTTATTCTAGGGGCACAGCTGCGGTGCTCAGGGCTGACTCCTACTTTGTGGTGGAGACTGTCCCCGTGGTGTTCATGGGACCATTTGGTGCCAGAATTGAGCCAGGACTCAGCATGTGAAAGCCTGTGCTCAGTCTACTAGGCGATCTCTTAAGCCCAGATTTGTTTTTTAAATTTATTTTTTTATTTTGGGCCATACTTGGCCATTCTCAGGACTTTATTCTGGTTCTGAGTTCAAGGGTCACTCATGACTGGGCTCAGGGACCATCTGGGTTCTGAGGATTGGATCCAGATCCACTGCACACAAGTCAGTGCCTACCCGATGTACTCATACTGCAAATACCATATTAAATTTTGTTTGGTTTGGGGGCCACAAGTGGTGGTTCTCAGAGCTTCCTCCTGGTTCTGAACTCAGGAATCACTCATGATGGGCTGCGGGGTGGGTGTTTATGGGGTGCCAGGGATCAAACCTTGGTTAGATTGTGAAAGGCAAAACATCCTACTTGCTGTATTGTTGCTCCAGGCTCACCAGATTAAATATTTCTTTGATTAATTATTAAATTCTTTCCTTGATTGTTCTTAGATTACATTACAGAATTTTGGGGTTACAGCTTCACACCTCTATATGTCCATAGCACTCTTGCATTCACCCCACTAAAGACCTCTCTGCTCTTCTTCTCACATGCCTCCTTCCCCTCCAGTCACTGACTTTGACTCTAGCAGTTAATTGGGGCGGAGGGGTGGGGGGGAATGACAGTTTGGAGTCACATTCTCTGGCTCACTCCTCACTTTTACTCTGGAATCATATGAGGTGTCAGGGATAGGGATCATATGATGTGCTATGGCTCAAACGAGAGTTGCTGTGTACAAGGTAAGCACCTTCACCCTAGTACTATCTCTCCGGACTCTAAGCATTAATTTTATTGATTTTGGAGGTTTTACTTTTTTTGTTGGTTTGTTTGCTTGAGTTATTCATTTTTCAGATATGGATGAAACAATGGAGCACTTTATTTCCTAGATGATTTCACTTAGCATAATTACCTCCAGTTCATCAACGGGTCCCACACGGCACTAGATCTCATTTGAGAGTGGAGGTGCGAGCCAGAGCCATAGTACAGTGGGTTAGGGCACTTGCTTTGCATGGGGCTAAGCCAGTTTTTTTTCTTTTTGGGTCACATCTGGCGATGCACAGGGGTAACTCCTGGCTCTGCACTCAGGAATGACTCCTGGTGGTGCTAGGGAACCATATGGGATGCTGGAAATAGAACCCGGGTCGGCCGCATGCAAAGCAAACGCCCTATCCGCTGTGCTATCACTCCAGCCACGCCAAGCCAGTTTTGAACCCTGGCAACCTCTATTGTCCCCCTGATCATCGCCAGCAAAGTTCAGAGTCTGGAGTAATCCCCGAGCATCTCTAAGAAAGTACAGAGCCAGGAGTAATTCCTGAGCATCACCAGGAAAGTACAGAGACAGGAGTAACCCCTGAATATTGCCACATGTGGCCCAAACCAAAGGTAACAAACATAACAACAACAACAACAAAATAGAAGCCGCGTGTTTCATTTCATCTACTGGCCACAGCCTCTTCTTCAGTGGGCGGGCACTTACAGAGGTGCCATGTGCCGCTGTGACCTCAGGGGTGCAAACACCCTCTCCACTTAGTGTTTTCATGTTCTAGGACAACTGTCTAGGAGTGTTATCACTGGGCCATATAAAATTTCATTTTAAATTTTGGGGAATTTTCTTTTGGAGGTGATTCCCAGTGATTCTGTGCTCTGGGTGCTTCTGGAAATTTTGGGGGATCATACTTGTAGGATAACATTGGTTTGGACTTTCTCCCTTGCCACAGAGAGCTTAGGTTTAGCGGGTTACACACATCACAGTGTTCCCGAGTCACTCCCATTCCTCTGGGCTTATCTGTAACTTCTCTATGCTGTCTTCCCCAACCAGTTAATCAGCTTTTTCCCCCTACTCAGATTCTGTTAATTTGTAAGGTCAGATCCTTCTAGGACACTGAACCTGTATTGTAAGTTAATCTTGCCTTTCTCCTCTCCTTATGTCTTTTTTAAAAATTTTTTATTAGAGAAACACCATGAGGTACAGTACAAAATTTTATGGTTGGGTTACAGTTATACAATGATCGAGTACCCATCCCTCCACCAGTGCCCATTTTCCACCACCGTTGATCCCAGTATCCCTCCCAACCCCCATCCCTCCCATCCCACCCAGCCTCTGTGGTTGGGCATTCCCTTTGGTTCTCTCTCTCCTTTTGGGTGCTATGGTTTGCAAAAGAGGTATTGAGTGGCAATCATGTTCGGTCTATAGTCTACTCTCAGCACGCATCTCCCATCCTGGGAGGATCCTCCCAACACCCTTTATTTGGTGCTCCCTTCTCTGTCTGAGGTGCCTTTTCTCCTAGCATGTGTGGCTGGCCTCCAAACCATGGAGTAAACCTCCTGGTACTTTTCTCGACTGTTCTTGTGTGTTAGTCTCCTATTTTGTTATTTTATGTTCCCCAGATGAATGTGATCTTTCTATGTCTGTCCCTCTCTTTCTGACTCATTTCGCTTAGCATGATACTTTCCACGTAGTATACCACTTGTATGTAAATTTCATGACTTTGTCTTTTCTAACAGCTGTATAGTACTCCATTGTGTAGATGTACCAAAGTTTCTTTAACCACTCATCTGTTCTCGGGCATTCGGTTTTTTTCTGTGGTGGTGGAAAATGGGCACTGGTGGAGGGATGGGTATTTGATCATTGTGTAATTGAAACCCAAGCACAAAAATTTGTAAGTGTACAACTGTACCTCATGGTGTTTAACTAATAAAATTTTTTTAAAAAGATAGTTTCATTTGTTTATCTCTGTTTTCACTTGTTTGGCCAGTGGTGTTACATCTTTGAAGATACCATTAGCTTCAATGTCATGAAGGGTTTTGCCAACTTTGTCTTTAATGTACTTTATAGATTCTGGTCTGATGTTGAGGTCTTTAATCCATTTTGATCTTACTTTTGTACATGGTGTTAGGCAGACATCTGAGCCCAGTTTTTTGCATGTAGCTGTCCAGGTTTGCCAGCACAATTTGTTAAAGAGGTTTGCTCGCTCCACTTCACATGTCTTGCTCCCTTATCAAAGATTAGATGATAATATGCTTGGGGAGAGATGTCAGTATATTCAACCCTGTTCCATTGGTCTGCAGGTCTGCCTTTGTTCCAGTACCATGCTGTTTTAATTATTACTGCTTTGAAGTACAGTTTGAAGTTAGGGAGGTTGATTCCTCCCACTTTCTTTATCCCAAGAATTGCTTTAGCTATTCCTTATATCTTTTGAGTAGTGTAATTTAAAGCAATGTACTTTTGGAGTAAACACGTGAAGACAGTTAATATTATGCTTTTGTAAATTGGGATTTAATTGACTTCAAATAT